ATTTAAAGCTGCTCTCTGCTAAAAACCCTCCCATCATTAAAAATATAGCAAAAATTTCAGAGTTAAAAATCGGACAAAAATTTTCAATTCATAGCTTAAATTTCGCTTGAACACATTTATATACACACTTCCGCTGCCCTTTTTTTTCTCCACTGCATCACATCCTGGCTCATTTACTTGTACATATTTTTAAGTGGAAAAAATAAAAATAAAGATATAAGAAATCCTAGGAAAATCACCCCCAGTTGGAGGAAGTTCTTGTGATAAGAAACAGAGACGTTGCTGACAGCAGGACAAGATTATCTCCTCAGTCCCTCAACATTTCTGGCCCACGAAAGTTCCTCCTCTTTTTTCTTCATATTCCGGTTGAGAACACTTGAAAAATTTGCAAAGAACTCGATTCTATTCTTGTTTCGTGGTTTACATACGGTATGTGGTTCTCATATTTAAAATGTGTGGGTTATCGTAAATTGAAGCAAGCTTTTTTTTGCTGAAAATATTGACCACTTTGTCACACAAATTTGGAAAATATTTCTGCAATTGAAGTTTGCTGCGGGGTTCAATAATGAAATTTAAGAAAAATAGTTTCTATGTTGAAAAAATTTTACAAGAAACTCCCGAAAATGGGATTTGAAGAAAAAATCTGTGTCGATTGCAAAATAAACACGTCAAAGCGTCTTCTGCAATTATTATTTTTTAATTACATAATCATATGAGTTTTTGAAGAAAATTGACATGAGGCTGGTTCAAACTTATTCTTTTGCAAATTCAGAAACCATATCCTCTCTTTGAAATTAAAAAATGTAATTCATGAGTGATTCTATATGTTTGTAACGAATTTTGAGGAATGGGTTTTCCAAAATATTTCATATTTCATCTCATTCAAGGAATCTGCTTTTGACAAAAAAATGTGCTTCCATTTTCAATTATTTCAATAAACGAGTCCCCAGCGTAAATGTTGTAGCAATCAGCTCAAGGTTAATACAGTATTTCATTTGAAGAAGATTGTTTCCACCTTATTTTAGAAACGCTAAAAATGTAAAAATTTCTAGGACTTTTTACAATTTTAATCTAGTTCCATATTAAAATTTGCTAAAAGAAATTTTAAAACTTGGCTGCACAAAATTTTTCAGGGACGGCAAGTTAGCAAGTTATTTAAATTCTTTCTTGAGATACAGAAGCTTTTTTGGAACTCAAATTCACTTCATAAAAATATTTTTTAGTCAATAGAGGAGAAATTTACTTTTTCCTTTGTCTTAATTTTTTTTAATTTTCTTCTGATTCTCAGGCATTGTGAAAACCAAATGAGTTCCAGTTGCATGAGGTCTTCGTCATCGTCTCCTTCGATGATGACGACCAGGAATTCAGCAAGAATAACCAAAGAAATCTCAGAACCACTGGAAAATTCCTCCGCCCAGAACCCGGAAGACCTTCAACAGTGGCCAGGAAATTTTTACCAAAGATCCCACCATGGTACCAGAGGGTTGCCAGGGTTTCCCAGTCCTTGGCAACAACCAGCCACTTCTGGACATGATGCCCATCAGCAAATGTACCCAGGTTTCAGTCAACATCATCATCATCATCATCAACAAGTTGGGTATTACAACCAGATGGGACAGAACTTTGCATTACATGCTAGTTCTTGGGCTCAGCAGGCTGCAGCAGCTGCTGCTGCTTATGATCAAGCCAGTGTCTTTCATTGTGCATTTCCTGGAAGAAGTGCCATTGGTATGTTTTTTTTCTTTTCTTTCTCAATTATAGGTAGTACCTTGCAATTTGACCTACCGCAATTTGTCTGTCATGCCGCAATTCAACGGTCAAATTTGCTGGGATGTTCACTTGCAATTCAACCTCTGCCCTGCAATTTGACCTGTTCTGTCACTTTTCTAGTGATTTTGCATCATAGCTGCTCTTAGTTAATTTTATGCAGTGTCTCACAATTCCACCATGTTGCAATTCAACCCTATCTAGACCAGCAACGGCTTATGGTCAACTTGTGAGATACAGTACAACCTGTATCACTGTTTGGAAGATCAACCTTCATGTTGAAACAATTGGTGTGCTTTTTTCTTGTGGGTACTCAAACAGAGTCCAATCACCATCCAGGAATGGAGTTTTACTCTGATGGCAGAGAGTGTGTCAACTGTGGTGCCATTTCCACTCCCCTGTGGCGCAGGGATGGTACTGGCCACTACTTGTGCAATGCATGTGGTCTGTATCATAAGATGAATGGCATCAACAGGCCTCTGATCAGACCATCAAGAAGACTGGTGAGTGGTGTAAGTTGACCAAAATGAGGATTTAAGATTATTTATTGGTACCATTTGACAAGATACTCTTCTTTGTTTCTTCAATGGTGCTCAAAATATAGGCAACTTCTAGGAGACTTGGGCTTAGTTGCACCAACTGTGGCACTCATCAGACCACCTTGTGGAGAAGGAATAATCAAGGGGAGCCTGTTTGCAATGCTTGTGGACTGTACTTCAAGTTACATGGTGTGAATAGGTAATGTCTCATCAACTTTGAGTTTCACTGGAAGAAGTTCAATTATGCATTCCTCACGTGCTCAGTGTTGGGGAAAGCAGCAAATGCCTGTCAAATAATGTGTATAGAACCACACTCTGCTACCATTTTTGTCAGTAATTTCTTGCAAAACAAGGGAGCTTGATGAATACAACACATCTAGAGAGGGGGTTTGTTGTTGACTGATGTAGCATGCACCTGTCAAATAATATAAACAAAATCATACTTTGCTACCATTTTTGGTTTGGATTTGTTCCCAACCAAAGGAATTTTTGCGTTGATTACAATGTTTGGATACTTGAGACAGCAATAAATCTAAGCATTTGTGGAGTCTCAGGCTGATTGTATATAGTGCTGCTTTATTCATCAAACTCCTTTGTTGGGGAACAACCTCCAAGCACTAACCTCTCCAACAAACTCCACAAGTTCAAATTCTCAACATCCTTTGAATTTGATATTGAAAGATTTGAAATTTTATTGAATTTTGCATCCTTTATTCTCCCCCAAAGGCCTTTGACAATGCGAAAAGAAGGGATCCAGACCAGGAAAAGAAAACCAAAGCCCATGAGCAGCAACAATCACAAGCAAGACACCAAACCACCACAAGACATCAAGTTCAAGCCAGACCAAGTCCAAGACACTGCTTCAAAAGCTGACACCACCTTCAGACAACTGGAAGAATGGCACAGGGCTGATTGGCAAGCCATGGCAAACAAAATGGCCACCCCTTGGCACCAGCGTCAAGACCAACAGGGTTGCCAACGCGCTCATGCTCATACCCAACAACAGGGTTTAGGCTTGAGTGAACCTTCCTCTTCAGGAGTCAATCCCTGGCTGACATGTTTTCAAAGTGCAGCCGTGGCCATGACACCTGTTCTCAACAATCCCATATTCCCTTCTGCTTCCAGTCAAAGTTTCATCAGCTGATGCCATTTTATGCTTGCTTGTATCCATTTCAGAAAATGTTGTATGAACTGTATGGGGAAAGATTGAACAAAGAAAACAATTTTGGACCTCAAGTTTTAACATTCACTATTCATAGTCATCAAGCATGATAAAACATATAAAGTTGACCCCCACACAATGGACATCCCACACAATGGTTTTTTTCACAACAGACCAGCTCTGGAGGCAGTTTCCCCTCCCACACAACAGACTAAATCTACCTAACAGACTTTTGCTTGTTTAAAATTGATGGTAATAAAATAGTAAAAATGTCAATTTTTTAATCATTGAATTTGTTCAACAGGCTTTTCACACAGAAGACTAGTCAGTTGCACAAATCAAGTCCGTTGTGTGAGGGGTTGACTGTAATGCTCCTGTGGAGAGGAAAGAAATATTTTTAAATGCATAGGAAAGTGTATTATGCATCAACTGGAATACTGAATTAAATAGGTGCAGGATAAATTGGGCAAGAGAAATAAATGAACCAGACCTTGGCATATACACACATACACAAACAGCCTCTTAAAAACACAATTCCATGAACATGTATTTATGTTTTAAGGCAGTGTGCAAAGGCCTTGTTTGGAAACAGGGATCACTATAAAGAAACATTCAAAGGAACTGGTTTCTGATTACCATCAGCTCATCTGATCAGACATTTACTTTTTTTATTTTCAATGAAGTAGTTGAACTTCAAAGCACAGTACTGTATAGGTTCATTTACCTGACTTCTGGAGATTTCTATTTGTTTTTTAGATAAACTAAAAAATGCCTACAAATTGTTTCATGAACTATATCCTGAGCCTGACATGTTGAGAAATTTTTCACTTCAAATTCAGTTTTAATAAACTGCTCTGGACTTTGGTGTGGGCAGTCCCTTATTTTTTTTCATCTGTTAACAGCTGAACACTGCATTTTTTTGGAAAAGAAACTTTTTTCAGTGTCTTCTTTGAAAACCAAATTGGCTGATTTTTGCACTTACATTTGCAAACAAATCTCTCAACATTTTTTTATGGAAAAAAACTTGTCCTGAAAAACGTTGCTGGAAAAATTCAGCAACCTGGCTATCAACTGACCCACTAAATATATACATGTTTCACTTATTCCAGCTATAGGCTCAGATATTCATCAATGACACAATAAATATTTTTGGAGCATCAAGTCCACAACAGAACCAGGACAAATACACAAAAGTGGGTTTCACCATGAAATAATTTTTTTCTTTCCGGGCCGGGTGCAAAGGCGACGCATTTTGGAACCCGATCACTCCCCGAAAATGCTTCAGGGTTCTCAAGGTTAACATAAACTTCCTGCTTCGAAACCATTTGGTGTATTTAAGCTCTCCAGCAGTCCACAGATTTATTCGTCTGACTGGTGGTGACTGTTCATCCTTTTCTGGAGTGAACTTTGAAAAAAAAATCGAGACCATGCCAGATAATTGCTGCAAAGGAGGTAATTTTTGGAGTTTGAAAAATAAATTTTATTGAAGTGATGCAATGAGGTACCTTTTATGTTTTCTTTTCCAGTTTGCAATGAGGCTGGGTGCTGTGCTTGTTGTAAGAACTGTGGATGTGAAGGCTGCAGTGGTTCAGCAGGAGGTGAGATAAAATTTAAAAACCATAGACAGTATTTTTTATTTTTCACTAAATTTCAATTTTTATGAGAAAAAAATTATATACTTGCAGGTGAAAAATGTGATTCAGGATCCTGCTCAAGCTCCTGTTGCTGCAACCCAGAATCAGGCTGCAAGTGTGCTCCAAAGGACTGCTGCCAATAAGACACAATCCGCATCAGAACCCCTTTCAAATGTTCAAGGCTTCCTTGTGTGACTAACCATTGTGTAATTCATTGCAAAAAAAAAATAAAACACTGTGTTGAATAATGTGCAAATCATTTTCTGGTTCATTGAAACTGGTCTCCAGCATGCAGCATTCTTCCAAGCTTATCAATTTCAGAAATTAGGAATAATCTGATTGTACAAAAGAAAAATACATAAATGGACAATCTTGTAAATATTAAATGTAACAGGATATAAATTACTTGTTTGTGACCTTGTCAACCAGGGAATACACTTTTAACTACATCATAAAGGTGCAAGTTGAAGATCAACAAGCTTTATTTTCTGTTTTTCACCATTCACAAAGTTCAAGCAATGTCCCACATCCAAGCTCCCTCCCCTCCCCACCCACATTCATACAAACACATTCCATCACAACAGGATAGAAAATAAAAAATAACTGTGTATATGGATACTAAAATAAAAGAAAATACATCCCAAATTTCACAACTGATGCAAATGCATACACTTTCTTCCCCTTGCCAATAAAAAAATGAAAAAAGCAGTAATACAAATTGCAGCATACAGCAATAACTGAACCCAAATTGAAGCACAAGGTGTTCAAGATGCTCTCAGACAAGTTTGAAAACTGTCTTGCACAAATTATATACATATAGCTTAAATTTCACGTAACTTCATTACCTAAAGATGTTTTTTTCTGAACAGGTGAATATTATGTATGTAAAATCATATCCAACTATAATACAAGAAAATCAGAATCTTCACTGAAATTCCAAAATGCTAGAATTGATTTTTGAAATCCCCTCATCCCTTGAATATACTCTGAGTTTTGTGAGATAAATCACATGTATTTTCAGTACATGCAGCACTTTTTCAAAGTATGCATACAACTTTTGAAAGCTCACATGATGAGGATAAAGGGCTGAACCATTCAATGCATTGTTCCTGGTTATAAAAGAACACATTTAGCAAAAGAAGGTACAGCAGTAGTTTGAAAGAGATCACATTTGTAGACCAGCACATTGACATGCCATACATTTTATCACTCCCCTTCATTTATGTAATTAGAAATCAATAACATCAGAGATTGTACAAAATTTCTACACAAGAATGATACAATATTATACAGTACTTCATATCCAGGACATGAATCAATAGAATAATATCACTGGCACATGCACTGAGTGCATGACCTGGTTATTTGTGCACAATTTATATGATGCTCTTGATGAATGAGGGATGAAGTCACCAGCACTGGTTGCTCAAAGTACTGTAAATTGAACCTGTCTCTCCACTGTGCCCCATGGGGTGTCTGGCCATGAACGCGTTGAAACTGGTCTTGGAGGAGACTTCAGTCAGAAGTGAGCAGTTGAAGAGTCAGGTTGTATTGTTTTGAGAGCTCTGTTCCATGGTATACCTCGTCTTGCTTACCTTTTTTTCATTCTTAGATGAGCACAGAATGTTATGAATAAGTGATATGAGTTTTACTTTGAAAGAAAGGTGCTGGATAAAAAATGGATGCGCATATTGCAATTTAATGTAGGATCCAATTCTGAGTTTGTGATATGTAATTTGTAAATATTTTTTATTAATTTTCAAAGCTTCACAGAGGAATCCTATCAGAGAAAACAGGAGTGAATGATACTTTATCAAAGATCCAATACTGTAATACTAAACTAAACAATTCAGTAAAATTGCAATAAAAGTGAAGTGAATATCAACAAGTACAATATTGAATCTGTACATCAGCCATCGCATTTGCAAGTTGAAAAAATTATAGTACCCATGGCAGTATCAATCAGGAGTTAGGACAGATTGGACAGTAACCCTTCCAGGCATAAAAAAGTGCAGTACTGTACACTAAAAATTATTACACTGATAGTGCAGTAAACATTTCAACATTACACACAAGACAATACAGTAACCAACAAACAATCACAGTTTCATTATTATGAAAGTACTGTATACTGCAATCAATTGAGTACCACATGTACTCACATGAGACTCACAGAAGTACAGTGAGACCCCAAGATGCGGACATAATTGGTTCATCAAGAGTGTCCCTGAGTCAAAATGTCCCTATAAGTCAAGTCTCATTTTCCCTTAGACTTACATTATATAATTTTTAATTGGTGTTTTCTGTGCAAAATGCTCATCATAATTCCTTGAAAATAAAAATTTCTCCCTATTTAAACTGATTTCAATAAATATATTTCAACAAAATATGGAAATTTGGGGAATTTAATACTGATAACTTCTGTACAGTGCATATAAATGTTGGTTTAATCTTGAAAAATAACATTCAAGTGAAAAAGTGAGAAGGAAGTCCCTCTATACTGGAGGTAATTTTTTAAATTAGCTAAATGGATGGTAAATTGGTGAGAGGAATTCCCAAGAACTTTTCTTACATCAATTTTAGGGTTGGAAATATCTGCTTCTTGTAATTTTGCCTGAAATGTATTTGCAATTTTAAAACAAAATGTCCATATGTTGAGTCAGTGTCCTCATGTTGGGCCTATTTTATTAATTTTTTATGGGAAAATAAGTGTCAGTATGTCAAATTGCCCGCAGGTCAAGGTGTCTGCATTTGGGGGTCTCACTGTACTTTTGAATTGAATTGTTTTTTATAAATATTGTAAAATCTCTGAGTAAGAACCTGCACTCCATTTTAGTGACATCTCAAACCATAATATTTAAAAAAAATACGAACACCCAAGTTTGAATTTAGACAAGAGTCAATCATGAATTCAACTAATTTTTCATTGTCTCCAGTAAAACAAGTTTTTCAGTTAAACCTGGTGAAAATTTCTCATTAGAGTCAAGTACAGTATATGCTGATGCACACCTACACTGTTGAAACTTTAAAAATATTTACATTGGCATATATATGACATCAAGCACATCACTTTTTCATCTTAAATTTGAGAAAAAAGGTGCACATGATACTGAAGTAAATACAGCACTATTTATTCCTTTAAATTCTCAGCAGTACAAGAGCAATGTACTGCACTTGACTACTGCAGTACTGTACAATAAAAGTACAGTATCAGTAAAATGACAGTGTATTCAGTAACAATTGAAAATAAAAAATATATAACCAATAAAGTTTTAACTGGTGATGTACTGACTTTTCAATTTCCCCATATAAACATCATTCTTTCAAGGAATAATAAATAACAAGGAAAAAGAAACTGCGCACATACGCAAGCGTGTGAGACACAGAGCTGTGACATGCACACTGCTACACCCAGTAATGTAATAATTCACACACACACCCACAGAAGGAATGGTTACTTTTTTGGGGCCGTGTGCAAAAACTGTGTATTCGGGAACTCGATCCCACACCAGAGCAACATTCCAGAGAACTTGTGTCTGATTCACGACCCTGAACAAAAAAAAACCAACATCAGTTCTCATTCAGCAAGACTATTTGGTGGTATTTAAACCCTGTGCTCAGTCCACAGATTCATTCACTTGACTTATTGAGCCCTTTCTTTGAACAAGTGAAGTGTGTGGAGAAAGAAACCATCAATAAAAATGCCAGACAATTGCTGCAAAGGAGGTAATTTTTTTGGCTTCCAAATTTGTGATGAGTGAATATTTAATGAGTGATGTTCCATGATATTTCAGAGTGTAATCCAGCTGGGTGCTGTGCTTGTTGCAAGAACTGTGGATGTGAAGGCTGCGAGGATTCAACTGCTACTGCTGGTGAGATATTTAATTAGTCCATCACAACCCTTATAAACTGACTTATCTAATTTTTTATTTCCATGAACAATTTCAGGTGAGAAGTGTGGTTCAGGATCTTGTTCAAGCTCCTGTTGCTGCAATCCAGAATCAGGCTGCAAGTGTGCTCCAAAGAACTGCTGCAATTGAACTTGCAATCAACAACAGGATCCCTGACACATCTTACAATACTTGGCATATGTTTGACTAACAATGAAATTATAATTACATATACAGAATTACATATGATGTATTTGCATGAAACCTATGAGTCCTTTTTTATATGATGGATTCATGTTTTTCAATTGATTCCAACTATTTCTGACAGTCCATTTGAACAAACTGATGTATGGAAGATTTCCTGCACTTATGTGTGATTATGTTCCAGCAAAGAATTTGGCCACATTGAAAAACAAGTTCTTTGCACAAAATGAAAACTTCACAAAAAGATTTTTTAAGGAAACCACACTTGACTTATTTTAGAATTGCTGTTTTTTGGAATCCAGTATCAAATATGCTTTGTTTCAAACTTGTCAAAATACCCCATTTTCTCAAGTAACAGAAATTGAACTTTGTTCAATAGGATCACATATAAGCACGTACACTGTTTAAATTTTTGAGAAGCTGTATACCTGCTTATGAATAAGTGAAGTCAACTCACTTATACTACTTTATTATGAAAAGAGGTGCATGTGGTACTTGATGCAATATGGTAATAAGCCATCTACAGTATTTCAGGAATGAAAATGAGCTGCATGTAATTTGCTAGTTTTATAGTGAGATACAATCAACCCCTTGCACAACAGACTTAATTTGTGCAATAGACTAGTCTGTTATGCAAAAAATCTGTTGTGCAAATTCAATTAATAGAAAATTAACATTTGCCATTAATTGCAAACCACCAGAAGTCTGTTATGCAGATTCAGTCCATTCCTCTGGAGGGAAAACCGCCTCTAGAGGCAGTTCATTGTACAAAAATCCATTGCCATGGAGGTCTGTTGTGGGGGGATTTACTGTAATAATTCAAGTGGTGCAGTTTAAACAAAAAACCCTTGGTTGGAATTTTATAGGAAGGGTTCATTGTAATGGGTGTATTTCCAGTAAAATCTGTAGGTAGATTCAGTTTATGACCCAGACAATATTTTCTTCAGGTGGTTTATCTGATTTAAGTAAGAAAGTTACAGTCAACCCTTGCTTGATGTTTTTAGTTGGTGCAGCGGGAAAAAACGTTAGCTGAAAAAAACGTTAAGCAAGGTAGTCTCTCCCTTAGCATATAAGGGAAAAACATTTAATTGGTGTCAGGCAAACTTTTCTAAAGGTAAAATTCAGAAAAAAATTAATCAAAGAGTGTATTCCAACAACTGAGCTTTATGGACTGCCGTCACATTTAAAAAGGAACCACAGTTCTTCACTCAATTAAAGTCAGAGATTCATTTTAAACAAGGAAAGGTCCAAGTGTTAACCAAAATTAAGTGTGTGACACTGCAATTGTTCATAAAATAATTGTAACACCACACCACCACACAGGAAGCACATTTAAAGCTGTGGAAAAAGTCACATTCAAGAAAATGTACATGAGCGAGGGAGGGAGGCATCCACATTGATCACCCAGAGCTGCACAACTGCAGAACGTTAAGCAAATTTTGGAACGTTAAGCAAGGGGATTTTTCTCACAGGACCAGGAATGTTAAGTGAAAAAGCGTTCGGCAAATGGAACGTTAACCAAGGGTTGACTGTATTTTCATGTTCAAAATATGGCCTACCTAAAGCTGAGAGTTGATCTGAATAACACAATTCCAATCCTGATGGTTTTAGCAGACAGGTGCTTGTAATTTTTCCTTGTACTGTATGTCTAAACTTTGACTGAATGACAATATTGGATTTTTACTTTCAGTTTTTGACTTCAATTTTGGAAAATATTATAGATAGGAATAAGTCAACCAATTTTTTCTTCACATGGATACTTTGTCAGCAGCTACACTCCTTAAAAACTTCACAGAATAAATCAATCATTGCATCAAAAAAAATTAAAATGTAAAGATGATGCAATTCTTATATTGGTAGATTCACAATGACAAATCCTCACTGAGTATGCATGACATAGTCACTGCAGTAAAATTTAGAAAACTGACCTCAAAAGACAAAAATTATTCAGCTTATTCTTGAAGATTCATTGGGGCTAGAAAACGTCTTGTGAACTCCCTCACTGAACCCAAAAGCATTTCCATCAACTTTAGCCACCAGAGATCAAATGTCCAAATTCAGTTTTCATTCCCTAGCCCGAAATCTGAGCAATATAAACCACACACCGGATCCATGAAATTTTGGCCCTGTTCTCAGCAATTCTGTGCTCAGTAGGCCTGAACATGATGATGATGATTATCGTGGTAAAGTCTTCCTCTTTCTCCTCCTTTAACTGTAAAAAACATATGGTGCACGGTTCAGCAATTTTTCTACACATGCATAAAATTATTTTTCTGAAAATACGGTTCAGTTTCATCACCCAAAAAAAAATGCTGGGTCAAGCTCCTTGACCCTTGCGAGAAAATCTTTTTATCTTCTTCTTCTTATGTGAAATTGAAAAAAAAATAATAATTCAAGCTGTTCATGGCAATGGAATGATCAACTGGCTAATTATTTTTTTTTGGGCGCTGTTGGCGTTCAGGAAGGGAAAACTTCCCTTGTGACACTGGTTTTTCAGCTATTTTTTTGTGTGCGTGTTTTGTTTTTTTTGCTGTTGTTTTTTTCATGAATTTGTGTTCTGAATTGTTGGATAGGCCAGTTAAGGCACACTTGGTGCTTGTATCTGGGACAGTTGAGTGCGGATCCGCTGCAAAAGCACTGGACCGTAAAGAAAGCCGCGCGGCTTGGTATAGTACCACATGTGGGACTTCCAGTTTCACTCAAGAATAATTAGAAAAGGGCTTGGCCAGTTCAGGTGGATGGGATGTTGAAATGATTTCACCCCATTGGGCGTGTCTTTGGAAGAAAAAGAAAGGAAAGATTTAGATTATTATGACAACAGGGGAAAAATCATACAATCCTTCTGCAATGGTGCCAAAATATTTTCCAACATTCAGTCTCCTATAGAACATTGTTCCCAATCTTTCTTGCTCATGGACTGCCAAATTTTAACGAAATCTTTTGAGGATCAGCAAATTGTCTTAAAATTGTCTGCAGAACAGGTAACTTTTATGTTTTCTCACATGATTTCAACTGCCACTTTTTCAGAAATTTTGGATAATTAAGGAAAACAGGCTTCATTACTATATCTTGTATGAATGTATCAAGCTAAAGAAATTTTTACAAGGACCAGCAAAAAAGGCTGGTCTGCATACCACAGGTTGGGGAACACTGTCCTGGAACACATTTATGTAGGAAAAGCCTAAATGTATGAGCTATGTGAAAAAAAAGTTGCTGGGGTAAAATCTGCCATTTTTTAGTGTATCCCAGAATATGTTTGTAGCAAAATGTATCCTGACTGGTTGGCTTATTTTAATGGAAGCATTTTATTTTACTTATTTTAATGGAAGCAAAGAACAATATCTAGAATTTAGGTTATATCTGTGTCTAATTTCTAATTTGGGTGTTCTTTCTTTGAAATATTTCATTTTTAAAGTCACAAGAAATGGGGTGCTTATCTGGTTTGGGGATATAATTTTATGAACATTTTTTTCTTCTGAGAACCCCTACATAGTGCAAATCTTACTCAAGGGTGCATGTTATTCCAGTACATACAATCCTGTAATTTGTTTAAAGGACTTATTTTGCCTGAGATACAGTTACTTAGCAATCCCTTTTCTTTTGAATTAGGAAATTTAAAACCAATTCACTTGCCTTTGCTTTTTCCTTCCCAACATAAATCTTTACCTAATTTTTGAGAATTGGGACAACCCAAGCACTCATTTCCCAGCATTTTCATAAAGAGGAACTGCAATAGTCCACAGCAGCCAACACAGCAAAAAATATGGAAAAATTAAAATTACCCACATGTCCTCCTCAACTGAGGATACTGCCGCTGCCTGTCCCTCTTTATGACTGCTCTCTGTTGGCGAAAAAGCATTCAACCTGTCCTACAACTCTCCCCCAACGGGGGCCCGGTAATAAACCGGGTCTTCCGCCAGTCTTCAGTCACTAGTGAGCAGTCGACCGGTCAGCTTCCCAAAAAGTGCATCATGTGTGTGTGTATGGAACATTTTGTATTTTTTTAAACTTGGACGCGGCTTTTGTTCATGAAAAGTAATTTTGTGTCACGCTGTTTGCTTCCTCATTCCGCAGAACGCGATAGTGAATGTGTGTATATAGTCAGTTCATTGCTGGTTGAGGAATCAGCAGCAGAAGGGCTGCATTGGGGCGATTTTTGGATCTCCAAGTTTTGTACTGGTTCTTGTGATGGACATTTTGAGGGTTTCAGGAAGTTCAATTTCATTGGATGAGATTTGAAAGCTGTGATTTATTGCTCAGATGGAGTTGCATGTCTGATGAAAAATATTTCTTCAAACCATTTATGCTGAACAATTTACTTTCCTGATACATTATTCAAGATCATTACTTGCATAGTTTGAGATTTTATTGATGTGGTTTGCTTCAAAATAATTGCAACAAGTTGTCAATTTATTAAAGACTGGAAATTCAACAAAAAAAATCCCATGGCATCAGAAGATCTGCCTTATTTTCTGGTTCTTTGTATAAGTGTCACAGGTGATAAACTGCTGGTGGAGACAATATTCAGCTGATGGATGCTCAGGACAAAACTAATTATGAACAATAAATGGCTAATTTTGGTCCATAGCCAAGAAATCTCAACTATGACTCATTGTTGGCACAGTAATATGGTGAGGGCAGCATTGAGTGGATGGATGGCCAGGAACATACTTTATATAGAGGTTTAATGCAGATTAGGTAGATTTTATTAGCACAGTACTGTATAAACAACTACCCTTGATACTTGTTAGGTGTTTTTGTGCTGTAGTTACCTGGTGAAACTCCAGTCCTCCCCCACCTCAGTCTGTCAGTATTTATAGTTTGGTTAGATGTTTTCAGTTATGAACCTGATTCCACCATTTCAGTGCATCCAATCATAGCTTTCTTGAATGAATGAATGAGCAGAACACTTTATTTGCTGCTTTTTAGCATTCACAAGGCACAACCAAGACTCCCGCATCCCAACCCCCTCCCCACCCAACCCAACTCCCCCCAAAGACATTCAATCACTTCAAAGCATGAAACAAAGCACAAACCGATGACTAAAACAAAAGAGAACACACTCCACAAAATAAAACTGGACAACTGACATAGCTTTCTTATTTGTCAGAACTCATAGCAGAACCCAAAATGCCTTCCATTTACAGTACTTAGGTTCACCACAACAAATACCTGAGCAAACTGTAGTAGGTGGCACACTGAATTTGTGTTGATTTGACACCATCTCAGTGTG